TATACCATATGAGATATGAGAGAGAAAAAAACTAAAGAGAGAGAATAAAGAGAGAGAGAGAACATACACACAGTCTCTAAGTGCTCATCTTTTAAAAATACATTTAGTTAGATGATAGATAGAGGAAACATACACACACCAACACACATACACACACAAACACACAAACATTGACACACAAAAATAGGGAATTCTTTGATATAGATGTCGCTATTGATAAAAACATACATAATAAATTGTTATGATTAGTATGACAGCTTGAAATTTGCCATATGAGATCGTCTGCAATGTTGACGAATGTTCGTGTGTTGTTGTTGCATTGCATTGTATGCAGTGCCGGTTGATTTGTTGATGTCTTTCTGTTGATGGTATATTAAATAATATTGTTGTTTTGTTGCCCCTCGTGATATAATATTATTGTTGATGATATATTGTTGTTGAAGTTATATTGTTGTTGTTGATGATTTGAGGATGTCGTTATCCCTAACAAATGTTGTTAGTTGTTGTTTAGTTGACACGGTTGCTATTGTTGTTTATTTCACCGTTGTAGCGAATGTTTGCAACAACATCAACAACCTGCATAAACATTTGCAGCTACTCATGCTTCAACCACGAACTCCATTGGGATGCTATTTCAATTTAATTATCATTCATATTTTGCATTGAGAGTGCAAGGATTGTATTCCAATCCAACCACCGTGGAGCCTACTGCCACTGTTGGAAACTTTAATTAACACATTGCACTAAGCCGATATTTGCAAATGATGTTATTGCTGTTGTTAATAGCTGCTGCTAATTTTCTGACTTTAACCTTACAGATTTTGTTTTTCCTGCAGTAGAATGCATCAGGTTAGTTTATTGGTAATGTGTTAAATTAAAGTATTAATTGCGGAAGCTTTAAAAATGAATAACGATCATACCTTTGGCATATATTGTGCATTGACATATTTATATAATGTTGTTGCTTTGTTGTCATTCATTCATCAAGTTGGAACTCGAGATAAACCAAATAATTTTGTCTACTCATCCATACATCCATCTTCATAAATAAAGTTTTTTCTTTCTTTTTTTCAGTTTCCTTCCAAAGATGTGAGAAACTTGCGTTCCATCAGCATGGAGAAGCATCTGTGTCTGCATTGAAAGTTTCGTTGGTTCGGTAGTGAAACATTACGGAAAATTATTATGTTAAATGATTTATACTGAAAAAACGTAAGCAGTTAAAATGGGAATAAATATTATAAAAGCTTTATTTTATAAACAACTCTAATGCAACTCCATGAGATATAAATAACGCTCTTTTAATAATTTTAAAAACCTTCCTTCTATTAAAATGTATTTATTTGTCGTTAAAACTTATTGCTCACATTTTTTATTTACATTCATTATTTTAATCTTTTATTTGTTAATTTAGTTAAGTCTGTTGATTATTTCTTGGATCGTCATATGATTAATTTATTCGCCGCATTTATTGCAAATATTTGAATCCTGTTCGCCAGAGCATTTTATTAATAAACACCGCATTTTTTAGATTCTATATTTCTTTATAAAGTTTTACAAAAAAGACGTCAGCCATTCATACAGAATCCAAAGTTGGCCAATCAATCAGTCTTCGTTTTGCGTCCAGAGACCCGGTTTCCCGAGGTAGGACGTTGTTCTCTTTGCCATCAACTTTTTGCGCCAAATTAGACAATCAGTTGTATCCATTTCATTTAAATTTAGAGCTTTCATGTCTTGCTCGATTGTTTTCATTTTCATTTCAGTTCGTTGAAGTTGTTGTTCCAGTTTGGTTGTCATTGGCCATGTTTCTGCACCATATAACAACACCGGACGTATCACAGATTTATAAAGTCTTGATCGTAGTGGTAGTGGGATGTCACGCCGCATCAATATAGAGGCAAGGAGATGCCATTTATTCCAGGCTGCACGTATGCGTGCACGAACGGCAGCTTCAGCTGTTCCAGTTCAATCCAGAACATCCCCTAGATATTGAAACGATGTGACTTTCTCTACCTTAATGGCTTCAAAAATATTGCTATTTCGAATTTGTTGTTGTGGATTGATGCAAGCAGGACAAACAAAATTGGACACTTTAGATAAAATACCAATTATTTTTGAACAACGTTTGTGACACCATTGTTTGTGACGACGAAAGTTCGTCGTTTAACCTATTTTAATTTCAAACAGCGCTCATCAGACAAGATAAGCTTGTTGGAAGGCTTATTCAAAAAACACACTTTCTCAAAATTTCAGCTGGCTGGATGAATTGTTAGTGGGTAAAATTCGTAAAAGAGAGAATCATGTGACTAGGTGACAAAAAAAAAGTATGAAAAAGATTCAAATGCGGATTTTTTGGATGAGGACAAAAAATAAGATCCAACATGCTTGTATGTATGTATGTATACGGGAAAAAAATTAGAACGTATGAACACGTGTAATTGTTGCTGTTTAAATAAATGTTAAATATATTTTATGCCTCATAATATCAAAATAATTAAAGAAACTATGTTGCTGATAATTTCAATAATTCACATTGAATTAGAGTCATCATATAGTTAACTTCCCATAAACAACACCGTCCTGACCATTGTCGTTTGATCATTGTCATTCTCAATAAAGTCTCCACCCACCTGATAGGAATCATTAGGAGTACAACAATCGGAAAAAATATCTGGATGTAGTTGATGCCGCAGAGAGCCACGAGACAAAGAATGATGAGTTGCAGCATCTGGAGACTTGTAAACGTGTGGATGCGCCTCTGCGGCACGGTTCGAATGTAGTGCGTTGGCGGGTAGGAAGCCTGGAGGTTTGTTGTTGGTGTTGTTGTTGTTATGTGTAAGTTTTTAAGTTAATTACATATTTGATTTGCAAACATGAGTTTATGAACAATTTCGAATTAAAAAAATCTAAAACAAATGTTTAATATATTCTAATGCAAAATTCAACCTGCTCTGTGACCATGAGCATGAGTCTTTCGAAGAGTTGGTTCTTCCTCATCATGATGGTGACAGCCAGGTACAACAAGAGTCCGTTGAGTACTGCTCTTGGGATGAGGAAGAGCACGTGAATGACCATCATGGTCAGTGCGATCAATATGTGGCTCAATAGACTGGTCAGTCTCGTTTCAGTAACTGATATGATTCTGTTATGACACGTTAGAAAAAAATTTAGTTAGGGTATATACTAACAACAAATATTTATAAATTATTTTTGTATTTTTAAGGATTTCAACTATATGGCATAAATAACTAACAAGCATTAATATTCTGTAGCAGCAAACATCAATAATTACAAAAAGAACAACAATTCCAACATCACAGCCGTGAACAAACTTCTGATTGACTTTCCCCTGATCCACTCTTTCTTCAAGTTCAGCCAGAGCCAGAATGTGAAGAGGAGTTTGGGGCAGGGATGGATGGACGGGAGGCAAACCGAGGAGTGCAAGCAGCATGTTTAGGATGGCCACGATCAGTAAGTTCCAATTTAATGTTTGATTTTTCTTTAATCTGCGTAGTTTTTGGTTAAAAAACATTTGAATAATTTTTGGAATAAAATATATTATCAGAACTTTATCGGTATTTATAACAAGTAGACGAACCTGTTCTCTCGACTGCCCACAATTCCTTCGACCACAGTCTGATTGACAAAGAAGAGTACGGACATCAACCACCCAAGTACGAAAGCACCAAGTACAACTGACCAGGAAGTCCCTGCGTGCTGGCTTATTATTTCAACGATTGGTCGGTTGTTCATCTGAACGTGTGTCACTGTTTATGAGATTCATTTGAGAGTTAATGAGACGAAGTTCGTACATCGAAACTAGTTACGGCCAACCAGTTAAATCAGTTATTCGTTTGATAAATATGATGAATATATCGAATCACGTGAGCATGTATGAATATTTGAAAATAGTTAAAAATTCATTTAAACTATTTGGGAACTGAAAAAAATTGAATGGTAATATAAGTCCTATGCAATACTACAATCTAATTATTTATTTGATAAATAAGTAAAGCCATTCTTGTCTATTTTCATGGTTTATGTATTTGATGCAGCTGTAAAGTATTTGATTAAAGTTTGTATCATAAAAGACATTATCTGTTAACATTAATTGGTCTTGTCACTTTCGAAGATATTTGCAGCGCCGACAAGCTTTTCAGCAGTTAAAAAAACGTACGTTCATAATTATTTGTTAGGAATGTTAATGAGGATACTACATCAAAACAAAACAAAACATGCTCTGATTTATATTTATCATTCGAGATTATGAGTTGCCTAATAACAATATAAGCTAAATATTTATGCTTGATATCTGTAAAACGTGAAAATTGTTTTAAACATTTTGTAGATTGGAACAAAATTACGTCAACTTAAACCGTGCGTTTTTTGTAGATGAAAAATAAATTTATTACATTTAACTTGCACGAGGAAATTTAACACTGTCAATTGTGGCAGGCAATCAATTTAAAAATAAAACCAGGAAAAGGTAAGAAAATGTTTGGATTGGGTCGGCCCGACTGATGCTAGTTTAATTTTTGCAAACGACAAATCAAGAACACTCTCCAAACTAAATACCAGAATACCATTCAACAGTTCAACCATGCCCAAACGACCAGAGAGACCACCGACCAAGCAGTTTCACACCAGTTCAGTCAGAGAAGGAATATCAAATAACAACTATTACACATCTCCGATTTCACTCAATAAAAGACATGACTTCACAAAAACTTTTATTATCAATCTAAAAGAACAAACACTCTCAAGAAAAACAAGAAAATTATTAGCACAACTAAGATCAGGCCATTGTCACTCCTCAACGACTGCCAGAACAGAATAAACCCAAACATTTCAAACATCTGGCCGGCATGTAACAACAGTCTTCACAGGGTTCAACATCATTTCAACTTTCCCAACAACTCTGCAGAACTACAACCAATTCATTCTTGAACAAAACCAACAGACGTTTCTGCTTGGCTATTTACTACAACAACAATTTTCACGTAACAATCAACCGATTTTTGCCAACAACAACAACAACAGCTGATGGTAATGGAAATATTTTCAGACTGGCAATGTTCATAGGATTAGCATATTTGTAAAACGTCGATTAACATTAACTAGTCAACTTTCAAAAATGCCCTTATTATAGTAGTAGGTGAAATTTTCATTAATAAAAATAAAACGGGTGAACAATCTGATCCACCACTTATTTGATCATAACTGGAGTGTTCCAGGAGTGTTCCAGCTCCATTTGTTTACAATCTTCTAAGAAGCATTGTACATTTTATAACAATATATTAATCCACGAATCCGTTCATTCGTTATCAGTCAAAATTATCATATACATTATCCATCGTCATGAACAACACTGAATGCCTTCTCTCTTCCAAGGAATCATTCGCAACAATGCAAATACAAATTTTGTTTGTTTTTATGTTCAAGGTATATACTTCCATCTATATGAGAGTGCGTGTGGATGAATTTTCCTGCATGAAAGTTACTGCATATATTTCTATAGTCCTATATATATATATACATATATATATATATATATATATATATATATATATATATACATATACTGTGTGTGGTGTGTGTATATATATATTACACTCCATAGTGTGTGCGTCTGCTCTATTGCTTCTACTCAAACTTCATCTGTACAAATGAGAGTTTCTAAAGGTTTTTCCTTATTTTGGCATTTATAAATTAATTTTGATTGTTTACAAATAGTTATATATAAATATAGTCCCCTGCAATAAAGGTACAATAATTGTTTCCTACTGCCCATTACACTTGCATACGCGTGCTTGAATAGAAGTGTGTGTGTGTGTATGTGTGTGTTTTATGTGTGTGTGTGTGTGTGTGTTGTATGTGTATGTGGTGTGTGTGTGTTGTATGTGTGTGTGTGTGTTGTATGTGTGTGTGTGTGTGTGTGTGTGTGTGTGTGGTGTGTGTGTATGTGTGTGTGTTGTATGTGTGTGTGAGTGTGTGGTGTGTTGTGTATGTGGTGTGTGTGTGAGTGGTGGGTGTGAGTGTGTGTGTGCGTACGTGCGTTTGTGCATTTCATTTTAAAATATATTTACTCAATAATGAACATTTTAATGAAACAAAAAAAAAACAGAAAAACAAACATACGTACATTCACACATAGGATTATGCAAAATTTGTTGATGTTAATAAAATAAGCATAAACACACGAACACACATCTAGATACATAAATTATGAGATAAATAAATATAGACACATGTGCACATATAAAATTGATTGACATCGTCTTACACTTGACGTCCTTGAATATGAAGGATCCAACAATGGAGACGACGACGACTCCCATTGGCAGGGAGAGATCAGCCAGCAGGGAGCGTTTACTCGCGTTTAAAAATGGACTGTAATGAAAATTGGAAAGTGTCTGAGTACGAGTTGGCCCGATTAATGATGTCACGTGATTATTAGTAGCAGTCACGTGATGATTAGTAGCAGTCACGTGATGATTAGTAGCAGTACAAGATGGAGATGATACGTTGATAGTTGTGAAAATAACAAACACGTTTGTTGACAGTGGTGTTGTTGATGATTGCGGTTTAATGAGCGAGAAAAGTTAACGAATCGAAAGTTATAAAATCAGTTAGTTAATCATTTACGTCAGGGTCTGCAATTTTGCAGCATTAGTTAAATTTTTGCATATCTGACAACGTTCTAACTTTCCATAAAATCGTACAAATGAATAAATAAAAAAACTCAAAACAATAGAAACATCAGAGTTCTTAACAAATGCTTAAAACAATTCTACTTTCGTAATTTTTTATCTAGAAAAAAAATATTTTTTGCTTAAAAATAACTACTTTCTAAGAGTATTGATGAAAAAAAATCCATAATTATTGCGTTCAAGTGACATTTCACAGATCCTGCGTCAGAGCTGATTTTTTTTTTAAGAAAAATAAAAAAGTTTCGAGCAAAAGTTCTGAAACTACACAATAATTTATTTTTTCACTTTCCGATAAAGCACTGAAAACCTGTCAACTACCAACAGCATGCCAATAGTTTTCTTGGTGTATTGAACTAAATTGTTAAACTGCAATCTTTCTTATGAAGTTAAGTTAGTTGAAGAACCTAATATAAAAGATAGCCAATGGCGTTTGACATTTTTTTTTCAAATTTGTGTGAAACTGTAAAGTAATCCACATTACCCCCCTCACCCATATCATTGTTATGGGTGAGGGGGGTAATAGAGTTCTATGTATTACTGATCCTATAAACGGCTCAAAGATTAAATATACACCATCTATGCTATGGGCTCTAGGGTTTATCTTTTTATTTACACTTGGTGGATTAACAGGAATTGCCAAAAGCTCATGTTGAAGCACCAGTTGCTGGATCTATAATTCTTGCAGCTATCCTACTTAAACTTGGTGGGTTTGGCCTATATCGAATATCTATATTATTTCCATGAATAAGAATGAGAATCTCATCTATTATTAGTTCAACAATCATGGTAATTATACTCCCTGTATCAATTCTATGGTTTATTACCAACTTAGCAGAAATCAACAGCTTTCATTTTAAATAGAGACATATGGATTAAAAAGTTATGGTCTGAGTATTTTAATTTTTCTCGTAATCGTACATAGTTATGCAAAATATCATATATATCAACATTCAATTACATCTAGACAATATTTAATAACGAGTGGTTCACACATACGTTTTGGTAAAGTTGAACAAGAAGAGGCTGAACCAGAGAGCTGCAAGTGTTAGCAGCAGACACAGCAAGCTGCTCTCCCGCGTGCAACTTTTTTCAAAAGTGTTGTTGTTATTGTTATGGGGCTTGAGGACATTTTTGGAGATTTTGTTGTTGCTGTTAGTGTGGTTTTTCGAAACTTTTCCTGTATCGCGTTTTATGACGTTGTTGTGCAATATTTCGGTGGAGTTGTACAACTTGTTTTCCTCGTTATTCGTACTATGTCTCCTGTCTCTAACGTTGTTGCTAATATTGTTGTTGTGGATGATGACGATGGTGGTGTTGTTGTAGATGATGACGTCGTTGTGATAAGGCAACGTGTGTGGCTTGTAGTAGTTGCGTGTTTTACGCCTCTTGTTGTGGTGATGATGAGTTGTGGTGTTTTTGAGGTTGTGGTTTGACGTGCGAATGATATTATTATTTTCGTTATTAATTATATTCTTGTTATAATCAACGAAATCATTTTGATAATTATAATTAATTGTATTGGTGTATTTTTTCGAAGTTACAAATTGATATGAATTTGCCACCCAGTTACTCGCGTCATTCATCGATGTGGTGGTTGTTGTGGTAGTGGTGGTTGCGGCTGGTGACGTGGTGGCTGATATGGTTTCTAAAACTGTCGCTGATATCGTAGTGCTGGTTGGTGGCAATGCAATGTTAATGAATGGCTTGGCGGATTTTTTTGTTGATGTTGAAGAGCTCGTTGACGAGAGGTTTTTGCAGACAGGGGAGTAATAATTAGATTGAAAATCTGCATCGATCGTTTGTTGGTTAAACAAGTGATTAAATATACAACGTCTACCATGTAATTTATTTCAAAATAAGTTTTTTACTTCAAGTATATATTAAAATAAAAAATAGATTTAAAACTAAGAAATTTTTAAAAGTTTATTTAAGTGAAGTGCTGCATAAATTTTAAACCTAATGCATGATAATCATTTTTCACATTCATTTTTACTCATAACACACCAGTCTAAATTTGCTAAAAAAATGAAAACAAAGAGATCAAATGTAGAATACAAAAAGAATCACTATATTAACACGCACGAGATAATGTATGTTGTCTATGTTATTTTTATGAGTTGCCAAGCTAAGTGCATTGTAAGTGGCCAGATCACCAAAGACTGAAAAAAGTAGAACACAACACAGACATGATGAAAAGATTGGAAAAAGTATAAACAAAATCAGAAATACATTAGAATAAATCTGGAAACCAACGCCAGCAACCTGAAAGCCGCATTCCATGCAGTAAGCCAGAATTGTGAAACAAAAATATTATAAACCGCAGATAACTTATAGAACATAGAAGTTAAAATGAGAAAATAAATTTGAAGTTCAAACCAAAAAGTGACAAAAACGGAATGGAAAACAACAAACTTTGTTGCAAAATAAAGAAGAAAATTCGTCGTTTGGTGAGACTTCTGGAAAGAAATGAAACAGGCTACCAGGTAATAAAAAATTATAAAAACAAAGTTGGAACGTCCTGATGGCAGAATAAAACGAGGTGGATGAAATATACTGAGGACCTATTAACAGATCAGATAAGAACAAGTACTGAACAAAAAGGCTTTGGAGACCTTTAATAAAGGAAAACATTTAATAAAGAAAAAATGAAAAACAACTAAAGCGAACAAAATAAAATTTTGACAGAATTGATAGAAATATGATAGGTTGGGCTTAGCAATAAAAAAAAGAGGACTAGGACAGATAAGATCTTTTGAAATGAAGTGTTGTGTTGTACAAAATTGTTTGGAAACAGCTGAAGAAAAAATGGGAAAGAAAGTAAGTAGGAACCAGATTGAAAATGAAAAAAATACTTATGAAAAGTTAAAGTAAAAAATATTAGGACTCTAAATTTGTGATGTTGACCAGAAAGTGGAAGGAAAAAATTGGAATGCTTGACAAAAAATGACTGGGATAAAAATGTGGAACACGTTGAAATTGGTCAATAAAAGTTGACGTTAGTGACGTCAACAATCTAATATGACATTAAAATAGGTCATCGATTTGTCGATTGATCAGTCAATCATGGATTGACAGATTGATGAATCGATTGAATATTAAGTAATTGATTAATCATTATTAATTAATCAACAAATAATACTGGTCTACGTATGACAAAAATTTCTGCTGGCTTGAATATTTTTGCTGATTTTGAGTGATGCTGATTCCCTATTTATAATCAAAAATTAAGTAATGACAATTCCTTATCGAGCTCTCAAGCAATTTAACATTGATTTACAATATGAAGTATAAGAATCATTCACTAAGTTAACTCTTAGATTGTTATAATTTGTAAAAAAAATTTGATTAGATAATATTAATGCAATGTAAAAACATAACAAATAAAATTTGAATATAATTTCATTCATTTATTTCTTCTGTGAAACAAATTTGATCACTGCAAAAAATTAAATCCTTTGACGGCTACGAGGTTTGATGGGAAGTCATTTGAGTGGCTATGAAGAAAATGCAGTTTTATACTCACGTTTGTTCCCAGTTTTAAAAATTATCAACAAATTTTCTACTAAAAAATAATATTTGGCTCCTTTGAAGTTTTCCTATCAAGTCTCTAATAACATCATACAAAGCAGACCAAGCGTGTTTTTCTATAATTTTCATGGTATAAATAAACTCTTTGTCTTTAATCGGGAACTTGATTTGTGTAACATCAAATATATCAGTTTTCAATTTTTCACAAAATAGAGCAGACAATTAAGTACACAAATATTTGGTACACTGTCCATTTTGATCCAAAGTTCTGACAAACTGTTTCATAAGTCCCAATTTTACATAAGTAGAGGAGGAAGCAACACTTTATAAGCACCGACAAGTGGCTCATTTTGAAGGCTTTTTCACTAGTCTTAAATTTGTTTTTAATCGACCACATTTTTTAATGTTCCAAAATGGTCGGCTGTCCCATAAGCACAAAAAGCCAGGAAACTTTGTGCATGCCCTTGGCTGTCCTAGGAGCAGGGATATGTCTCTTAAGTTTGCACCTAACATTCGACAATGTTCGTTATATTTTGTTTTTTGTAATATGCTTTTGATAGATTCATATAGTATTTATGCAGATTGCATACCAAGCATTTGTTTTCTTTATCGTTACTTGATCACTTACCAATGGTAATACCGATTCGTTTTCTTCATGTTGTACAGATATCAAAATGGTTATGATATTTGGAATCAGCACAACAATGTACATAAAGATCACATGAAGATGACGCCGACGAGTGCAACTAATTAACAGATCGACTGATTGGCGGAACATGCCCCACCCGACAATTTTTATCAAAACTTAACAGAAACAAACCGTGGACGACGTCTTTGAAAGCGTACGACATCATTGTTATTGCGATGAACAGTGCAAACACTTCCTCGATCGACCTTCGAAAACATTTGGTGAATGAATGAATGAATGAATGAACGAACGAACGAACGAACGAACGAACGAACGAACGAACGAACGAACGAACGAACGAACGAACGAACGAATGAATGAATGAATGAATGAATGAATGAATGAATGAAGTGGATATTTCTGATGGTCTTATTAATCCTAGTAAGAACTGTTATGGGGTGAGTTGCAAGTTGTGTTATTCCCTTTCAGCGCATATAATTTTTAGCTATTAATTAATTACGTAATTATTTAATTACTTTATTTACTTTATTTTCGCAAGCTATTAAGAGCCACTAAAAGGTCACAACAAAAACATCTACAACAACCCAAACATCCACAACTAAACAGCACAACAACACAACAACTCAATGACAGCACAAACATCATAACACAACACAACTTCCACAACAACGACGCAACATTTACAGCTACGCAACAACACAACTTCCACAACAACGACTCAACATCCACAACAACACAATTGCCGCAATAACAACGCAACATCCTCAACAACACAAACATCCGCAACAACACAACTTCCACAACAACAACGCCACGCTTGCAACATCCTCAACAACATAAACAACCACAACAACGCAAAACCTTACCACCTCATTTAAATTGTTCAATAATTTATCTGATTTATTGTCATGAATGACACGGCACGAAGGATATAATGATGATAGAATGATGCACAAAACATTATATCTTGTTTTTGTTATATGAGTATTTCATATTTTGTTCAAATTTCATTTCTATTATTTTGTTTATTCTCATTTATAAAAATTGTCTACAATATCGTGGAGAGACGCAATGTAGCAAACAACTTGCATACACTCAGAGGTTATTGGTGAAAAAAAGGTCAATGTAACATTTGTTGGCGTTGCTTAATTTTATCATTTTCTTTTATAATTCATCCATTGCTCAGATCTGCGTATATTTCAAAATATTTTGTAATTATAAAACTGTAATGCATCTGTCAGGAAGATAAATGTGCTAATAACTTAAAGCTATCTGCCCAGCTATAAGCTTCAACAGTTGTGGTTCTTCGAAACAAGCCACTTAACATATTTGAAACAATGCCAGCATGAGGCGTGCGTGCGTGGTACATTCTTCGGCAGCATTTGAACCAGGTTGATGCGTTGAAACTGCGCAAACATACTTTTTACGCTTTGAGCCATTTGCGTGCATTTATATTTTTTGCATTTAATTATACCATACAATAGCACACTTGTATTCTGGGAAAAAAATAATTTGACAAAATTTTGAAACTGAAAAACAGTAAAAAATATTTAAATAAGAGTTTACCTGGTAGAGAACTTCATGCATTTGGCAACATCCAGAAAAGCATAAGTGAGCAGAAATATGGCATTCCACAAGCTGGTCCAGGCGAAGAGGGTCTCGAAATCTACGTCCCAATCTCGAGATATGAAGAAGACAACTGCATTGATTGGATTATGATGGAAGAAATATTATGATAACCTTATAACCTCGCACGTAAAAAAATAACGTTCAAAATTTTGGAAAAATTTTTACGAAGAGGTTTGTAGAATTAATTTATAAACTGACACATAATTATTTTGATGATAATAAAATGATCCCAATTAATATGAAAAAATATGGATGATTTATTCTATTGACTATAAAATTTTTGCCATACTTTTCGTTTATGTACTTGCCTTTGTGTCATCTTGTCATGTGAAGTTCTATTTTACAATTTTTACCCATTTCAGACAGCTGAAATTTTTATTGTAAATGCATTTCGGCGGTGTGACGGCCTAGTGGGTGTTGCTGTGGTGCCTGGTGGTGCCTGGTGCTGTTTCGCAGTGAAAGTTGCAAGGACCAGGTTCGAATACAACAAAAAGATTCCCACCTATCACATGCCTTGTTTGTGATGCGTTGTTTCGTATTGTGTGGTGGTGATTCTTCCGAGCCTAAGAAAAGAGTTACAGACCTTCTCCAACTTAAAAGCTATCTAGCAAGTGCATCTATTTTACATGAGTTAATTAATTTATTTATTAAACTAACCAAATTCAAATCAAATTTAGTTGATTAGCTGACTTCAACATACTGTCTTTTTAGCTTTATCAAAGTATTATAACAAAACGTAAAATCTGATTGTGTAATGGTTTTTTTTATTAAAATGCTCTGATGAAAAAATTTCAAAAATTTTCAAAAAAATGCTGCTTATACAATTTTTCGATGACATTCTTTAGCAGACTTAATGAATTGTTAATGAGTTTTTTAAAGGGTGTCATTTAGAGGCTCACAGTCGAAAATGTCAAAGCCAATACCATTTAGAAACACCACATATTAAGTGTGAACGAGAAATGTTTATGTCCAAACACCAAACACAATTGATTTTTTATGCAAATCCCATGATCTAAAGCAAAAATCAGACGATTTTTATGATTTCAAAGTTGTAGCAGTTGAACACTTCAAATTATAAGATTTTCAGTAGACGACATTTTAAGAAGGTCACTAAAATTCAACACATTTTGAAAGAAGAACTGAACGCAACAAAACATATAACGAAGACCAATAACTTCATTGTTTTTGAATTTGAACAAAAATTTTAGAAACAGAAGATGTAAAAGATGTGATGTAAAATGACAAAATAAAGTTATACGGTCGGTAGTATTTGTAATTTTTTTTGTATGCCCACGAACAAAATGCATTTTGAAGAGTTGATGAAATGTTTTGTAAAAGAATAATTTTAACATTTGTGTAAAATATTTAGAAAGTTAAAATTAAAAAATTTTTTTAATATTGAAAAAATCAAAATAAATTAATTAAAATTAATAATTTTGAACAAAAGATAAAATAAAATAATTAAAATGAATACTTTTTGTGTAGAGGACCAAAGGAGCTGTTGTCATGATGATAATGGTTGGTTGACCTCCAACGAGAGCAAAGGTCAAACCTCCAATTGTCTGGGAGCAGAGAGCTTTCTTGATGTCTTGGTTCATTTAAATTAAAAACATTTTATCAATAACATGTTTTATTTTTGTCAGACTGACTGAAAATTATTTATTAAAATTCCAAAGCGAACTTTCAACTAGTAGCAAGTATCAATAATATAATGTATGTTTGTAAAATTTTTAAAACTGTAACTAAATCTCGATGCAACCACAATTATTATTATTATCATTATTATTTTGTTATTCACTCTATTGACGTTTCTCAGAGGATAGTACTGTGATTAAAAGCTTTGTGAACAAATAACTTATTAACTCTCTTCTGAAATCTTTTTCTGGAACAATTGTTGGAAGATCATTCCATACCTTGGGCAGAGCAACCTGCACACATCTGTCACCCTGTTTTGTCCTAGGAATTACCATCATTTCTGATGAAACTAAACGCAATGCATGTCTCACATCAACTTCAGTTCTTTTGTGAAAAACCTCCTTCAGACATTCTGGGCCACCACCATGTACGCAACCATGAGCCACCACGGCCATATTAAATCTTATCCATTTCCAGATCGGCAGCCAGTGGAGACTTTCCAACCACTTTGTAATGTGATCACGTCTACTTAGACCAATGACCAATCTGGCGGCAGCATTCTGGATTCGTAACATTATCAGTGACAAATAATGTTGTTGTCACGTCAGCTGAGATGATTCCCGCTCGTATCAGTAGTATATCGGCTATAAGATGTTTAACATTTTATAAAAACCTACATTTTGTTGTTGCTGTCATCATAATCTAAATCATCTAGTATGACAATTACCACAACAATCTCTTTTTCAAAAACAATTTTTCATACTAAAAAAATAATTTTTGCTTGAAAGCTCACCGAAATATCCTCCAGTGACGTCATAATTAACAGCGCTGAGGGCGATGGCCGGGAAGAGGCAGACGAAGTAGAGGAAGAAAGTCGTCGAGATGACCTTGCGTATGCTGTGACGGCTGCGAAATGCTGTTCGTTCGTGTTTATTTGAGAGATGCAATCAAACAACATAGGAACAATCTAAAGTCAAATTACTGAAACAACAATATCTTTCAATTTTTTAAAGGCAGAGAAAAATTAGAACAAGTGAAAAAATAAAAAAACCGTCGGTGAAGTCGGACACGTAGGATGGAACTCTCAGCAAGAAGTCTTTCTTGATGCCCTTACAAAAGGTCAGTTTCCTTCTGGAGAAGAGGTGGAACACGTGCTGCGAGAACATGGTGGTCGTTGTTTTTGTTGAATCACTGGGCGTAGTGATTTCAGTTTGCTGTTGCTGCTGCTGTTGTTGCTGTTGTTGTTGATTGTTGTTCAGCAAAACGATGTTAATATTTTCCAAGCTACCACATGTTGAACTTCTCAGGCCTGGACGCTCTATAATTGGCAGTGCTTGCTTGCTATTGTTGTCATTGCTTTGTCGATGTACTTGAGCCTCAAGTTGTTGTTGAAGTTGCTGCTGCTGCTGCAGTTGAAACTGTTGTTGTTGCCGCTGCTGATATTCCTGATCACTATCGATAGAGTCGTGTCGTTGTTGTTGTTGGCGGTCGTGATGATGATGGGAGAAAAACTTCCCGATGGTTTTAAATTTGAAAAGATGCTTGTGTTGTTTGTGATGGGACTGCTGGGACTGGGGCTTCTGCAGGGCGTCTGCGCCTGCTTCCTTCTTCGAACGCCCCTTCACGCTTTTGATCTGCAAACGACATCACGTGACGTGGATATCTCAATTGTATAATTTTCAGAATGAATGACGAATAGGCCGGTACAAAACGTTATTAATCGAGAAATGTGTTTGCAAGTTGAAATTGGGGATTTTAGTTTTTCAATTTTATTTATGTCTAAAAAATTAATTGCAATTTTTAATGATAATTGGTTACTGAATGAATAAAATGCATTTGTGTAATTCAATTCACTGTAATTCACTTGTTTTTTTTAAGTTAACAGCCTTGCATTTTTAAAATGTGCTTTACAATATATTTATTGATAATAAGTTTATGATTTGTAAAAATATATGACCAAAAATTATGAAAAATGACAAGAATTTTTTAAACTGCAAGCACTTAAATTAAACTGCAAGCAAATAAATTAAACACAATAGTAATCAACACAAAAACGTTGAATTGCAATCACTTATATCATCAAACAGCCACAACCTCACAACTTCCCAACAACTTTTCAACAACTTCCCAACAACTGTTCAACAACATCTCAACAACTTTCCAACAACTCACCCTTTTCAATGGATCAGACGTGAATGATAATTTGTGATGCGAGTGCTTGAAACTGCCACTCAACTTTTTCCTCATGGAGCCGACTCCTCCCCCACTTTGAACTGAACCACCGACTACATCAGCACCCACGTTGGCAGCCCCGACACATCCAGCTCCTCCACTGCTGGCCACCCATTCTGCCACATTCCCTCCACCGACCACGCTTTTCTCAGCCTCCCCTTCGACTGCCCCCTGCACAATGTTATCGTTCGTTTTCCTACTCAGCTTGCTGACGTGTTGTCGCAGGAACTGCTTGAATTCAAACTCGCCATCGGCGGCCAGCAATTTCTGGCGGAGACTCGTGTCGGAGAAAAGAGTTGAGAAGGTTCTGCCGAGTTCCAATGCGTTCTTCGTTCCTTTCTGAGTGGCGAATTAATTATTGGTTTTGTAGGTGTTGTGTTGCGTTGGTTTGCAGTTGTTATGGTACAGGTGTGTTGTGTTGAGATGTGATGCAGTTGTGTGTATTAAGGTGTGGTTGTTGTGTTGTGTTGAGGTGTGGTTGTTGTGTAGGAATATTGATATGTTTTGGTGTTTTAATCTTGTGGAGTTGATTTGTTGTCTAGATGATAATTTTCGTGTCTTTGTGCCATTCATTTAAAGTATTTTGTTGAGGTAAGGTTGTTGTTTTGTGTTGAGGTGAGGTTGTTGTGCTGTGTTGTGTTTTCAACTTTTCATTCCATAAAAACATAATTGAAACTTTTATTTACATTTTAAGAATTTGGTTCATGTAACTTTCTAATGAATGACACAAATTCATGTGAACGTAAAGAAAAACTTGTGCCAATGAAATGTACAATGAAGAAATATTTAAAACTTTATTATTACGACAGCCAGCAAAACACAGAAATAATATATTTTATCTGACAATAACTTCAACCCTGCAATAATCCCCTCTGAAGGAAACAAACGTCAAGCAGTAGCAGCCTCCATGCCAGAAACGTCAGAAAGATAATTATTCCATGAGCGAAATTGCATTGTGGCATGAATCATCAGCCCAATTACCTCATAAGCCACATAATGGAATAACTTTATATCTCAACATTACCATAAACTCTATTATAAAGTGCATCGTAAAAGATATTATTACGAACGTCGTCAAAGTTCTCAACAAAACTTTCAGCACCAACATCGTCACGAGCGTCCTTACAACACACACACACACAAACAAACACACACACACACTGACACACGCGCACGCACAGAAACAAGAAAAAACAAACAAAAAACCTGACACAACACAGTCGTGTTCCACTAACAGAAAAAAAGAGAAGAGAGATAGAGAGAGAGAGAGAGAGAGAGAGAGAGAAAGAAAGAAAGAGAGTGAGCGAGAAAGAGAGAGAGGAACATAATTACATAGTTTTTCGGTGGCCGCCACTAACAACGCATAAAAACATAATACTTATATTAATAAATAAATATTAATATAAATAATATATAATATTATAAATATATATATATTATATTATATTATAAATAATATTAATATAAATATTAATAAATATTAATAATAACATAATAACATAATACATAGAAAAAAAAACATACTTTCTTAATATGTACAACCACCAACACACACGCGCACACACACACGCACACACCACCCCAAACTCAGTTAGAAACAAAACAACATAAATCCTTAGTAAATTACACCAACACACGCACATACACACCAACACAAACACGAACACACACTCAGAAACAATACAACGTACCACTTTGGCATGCACTTCTGTCTTCACCACCAACACACACCAACTAACACACACACCAACCAACACACACACCACCCCAAACACATGCACCACCCCAAACACACCAATACCAAGAGAGAAACAACCCAACCGACCTCTTTGGTGGGGGCCACCACCAACACGACGAACCGCACTTCCTGACTCGTCCTTCCCAGATTTGTTGGTGACTTCAATCGGGCAATTGCAACATTTCGGCGTTGAATGCTGGCCAGACTGCCCCTGCATGCAGATTAATAATTGCATCATTAATTGATTGATGCGCCGGGCTAAGTGATGGATTCACTTAGTCATGCGACGCGGTGTTCGTTCGTTCGTTCGCTTGTTTATTCGTTTGTTTGTTCGTTCGTTCGTTTGTTTGTTTTAGCCGCTACTTTGATTGATTGTTCGTTCTTCCAAGCGCAATCTTGTTTTTCATGTTTGCATTTGTTCACGTTGGTTTTGTTCGCTCGACTATTAGGCAGTATGTTTCGGAGGCGAAGGGGGGTGCTGCATGTTTATCGGGGTTGTGAAGTTTATCATATTGTCTTCTAGCATTGCAAACGACAATCAAAATTCAGCGCTGCATCACCGCTGCACCTAACCAAGGCATCAAGTTGCCTTGGTTTGGTGGCTTAATCAGTTGCCCATTAATTAAATGCAAACATTTCAGAAATCCGCTTAAAATGGATTCACAATAACAACATTTTTTTTAGGTCACTAATTTTTGGAATACTTTAATTTTTCTGAAAAAAAAAAATTCTGATAATAATAATGTTACTCGCGTCCGTCATCATCATCATCATCATCATCATCATCATCATCATCATCATACCATCATCGTCATCATATCATATCATCATCATATCATCATCGTCTTCATCTTCCATGCACTTCAGGAAAGGTCCGGTGTCCTTCCTCGTGTCAGCAACTGTTACTGCATCAGTGGGCAGTAAGTAGCATGTGATGTTGAATGTTGGTTCTCATCGAATTTAAATTTTGACATAACTGCTAGAAACTTCGAAATGATCACGACACATAATCACGACATAGAAAGTTGAGGAGAAAGTTGAAGATGAACGCGACAGTCTGATTGATATCATCGATCGACTTCAACAAAATATGCACGTAATGAATTAATTGATCAGAGGTTACACGTCAATATCATTGCCAAAATCAGGATCTGGATACTGCAGACCTCCTTGCCGGTGTGGTATCTTCGCAAACAATGAAAAACTCGTTCTACTGTGGCAACCACCACCACCACCACTACCACAACATTTTTTGGACCATTAATTTTTCATTATATACTTTGCAATTCTCATCGCCACCGTCGTTGCCGCCATCATCATCATCATCATCATCGCCATCATCATCATCATCATCATCGCCATCATCATCACTCACAAGATACAGAGCCAGGATTGTTCGTAGTCGTAGCATCCTGTGCTGGTCTTGCACCTGCTCTGAATGGACCTCGAGAGCTGGGTCACTGCATGGTCATCATGACGATGATGATGATGATGATAGTTGTAAAATGAAATAACATAAATAACATTGGCAACGATGAAACACCACAATAAGCAACTAGCCTAACCACACAGCAACACAGACACCCAACCACACAACCACAGACACCCAACCACACAACCACACAGACACCCAACCACACAACCACACAGTCATACAATCACACAACAATGCAACCACAGACAACCTGAATCATGAATGAAGAGAGATTTCTTAGCATCCTGGAAAGCTGCGGTGAACATCTCATGGGCATGTAGAGTTCTCCTCAGCAAGCATTCCACTACAGCTTCCAGACTGGAGGCGGGGACGTCCAACACCAGACTCGTCTCGGCTGCCAGGAAGTTCTCAAGGTCAACGGATGCTCTTATTTCCGTCGTGAAATCCGTCATTGGGATTTTCTGGGGTTTTGTTCGTTCGTTTGTTCGTTCAGCGTGATGCATGGGTGTGTTTCTTGGATTAAAATGACGGTTATGGCGGCAACGACGACTACGATGATGATGATGATGACAACGACGACTATGATAAAGATGGTGGTGGTGATGATGATGACGATGACGACGACGACGATGATAATGATGATGATGGTGATGATGATGATTAAGATGTTCGATAACAAGTGCACTTAATAAATAGGACAATTATGTCATTATTAACTGTTTATTATTTTCATTATTATTATCAGTAGTAGTAGTGGTAGTAGTAGTAGTAGTGGTAGAAGTAGTAGTGGTAATAGTAGTGGTAGTAGTAGTAGTAGTGGTAGTAGTAGTCGTAGTACTGTTGTTGTTATTGTTTTTATTATTATTATTAATTATTATTGTTTTTAATTTCCACTGTTGAAAAATAATAAACGGTTACATCCCGACGCGAAGATGAGTGAGTGAGTGAGTGAGTGAGTGAGTAAGTGAGTGAGTGAGTGAGTGAGTGAGTGAGTGAGTGAGTGAGTGAGTGAGTGAGTGAGTGAGTGAGTGAGTGAGTGAGTGAGTGAGTCAGTCAGTCAGTCAGTCAGTCAGTCAGTCAGTCAGAGTCAGTCAGTCAGTCAGTCAGTCAGTCAGTCAGTCAGTCAGTCAGTCAGTCAGAGTCAGTCAGTCAGTCAGTCAGTCAGTCAGTCAGTCAGTCAGTCAGTCAGTCAGAGTCAGTCAGTCAGTCAGTCAGTCAGTCAGTCAGTCAGTCAGTCAGTCAGAG